CTTTTTTTCCAGGGAAATTGAGATTGATTCATTTTAAAGTTCAGGTTTATAATTTGTTCATAATTTTCCTAGAACACTTTTTCAATTAAAAGTTTTTATAGTGCTCAATAGATATTAAATATGTCGAACTGTTCGGTTTATAATGAACACATCAGTAAATTTCTGAGTCTTTGATTTTTATGACAATTATCAATATGTTATTAACTAAAGAAAACATACCTATACCTACCTACCCACCTCTAAAAATATGGGTTGGAGTACATCAAACAAAAATATTTTTAATGATGGCCTAACACCCAAAATTCTCCTTTTAAAGGGATAAGACATTACAGCAAAAAATCATTGAGTTAATGTGTTAATTTGACGAAACAACATTATCCTATATTTAACATGTATAAAGCAAGTCCAAGTTACTTTAGTAAATAAAAGTGCCCAAGGTAAATTTCATGATAGTTTTACACAGGTAAGGCCATTCCAAGTTTTTTCTATGTTTAGCATCCGCAGATGGATTGGTTTTGAGGTCATGAAATTAAAAACAAACTCAAATTAAAACTGACAAATGAAAATCTTTGAAAAGCGATTTATTCATTTGGAATCGGCATGCCATCTCTCTTTTTTTCAAAGTGATGTACCCAATTTTTTTGTTTCAGTAAACTAGTAGTTTAATAACTTAGTTAAAATGCGAGGAGAATTCTCAAATGATGCTATGATGCTGAAAAATTCTAGAATTGTGCTTAAAATGTTTTTTCCCTTTTGGTTTGTGTGTTTTTTCCCAATAGAAGATTGGTTTTTGAATTTTGGGTGGATGCTAAACAAAGAAAAAACTTGGAAAGGCCTAACCCTTGTGTTTTGATCAAACAACTAGCGATGGCTATCTAAACAGCTAATAACTGTACAATAAATACAGGTCATTGTCTGCAAATCTGAAGTTAAGAGAAAAAGGTATTAAATTGAAATAATCAAATATGACATGTACAACTTACAATTACTGAATGCCTAATTAATATAATACCTATTGGTAGTCTGGATATATACCCCCCCCCCCCCAACAACAACAACAACATCAACAAGAAAAAAATGATTTAAAAAAAAATTTGGTTTCTTGGATTTACAGACTTATTTTCAAAGTGAATATAGTGAATACTAGTATTTAGTAACAATGCGAATTATCCCCCCCCCCCCATGCACTATAAGAAGTTAACATTTATAAGCATTTGATAATTACGATTGACAGAAACGCCGTGCAAGTCCGAGAGATGAGGCTGAATTTTACACCACAGCTGGTATTGATAAGGAGGGATTGAAAAAAAGATTTATAAATGCACAGATCGGTAAGAAAAATAAATTGTTAATGATGTTAATTTTAATTATCAATTTTATGAAAAAGCAGCAAAACAATCTTAAAAAAAAGAAGGGGCAAACCAATTTCACTTTTACCTCTTTTGGTGCAAAATTAGCTTTGCTTTTATAATAAAGCACTTCAGTGTTTTTGGAATGTGAACATGATTCTTTTTTTTTTTGGGGGGGGGGGAGGGGGGATATGTACATGTGATTTTTATATGCCCATCTTAAGATGGGACATACTATATTATGGTGTTCATGTCTGTCCGTCTGTTAGCTTTTTCATGTCCGGCTCATAACTTACTATTAGGCCTAGAATCATCAAACTTTGTCATTTGATACATCTTGGGTAGACGGTTTGTTGCATAAAAGTAGTTCAATGTGATCTTTAATTAAGATGCTTTGGCTGTAAAAATCTTGTCCAGCTCATAATTGGAAAAACTATTGGACCTAGACTCATCAAACTTGGTCAATTAATGCATCTTAAGTAGAGGGTGTGTTGCACTCTACTTAAAGGTCACTGTGACCATTAATTAAGGTGAAATTCAATTTACAAAAAAACACTATGCTTTTTAACTTTTAAATTACCCAGTCCAAACATATGTAAGAGTATTGCAATAACATTATTAAAACAATGGTAAATCAAGAAAATACACATTTTTTTCACAATATACTGCACAGCAATCTATAACAGATGTTTTTGTTTTTGTTTTGTTTTTGTTTTTGTTTTGTTTTTTATTCACATGATAGTGTATATTCACATCAGAGCGGGTGTAGTACTACTGAGCATTGGCTCACAGACTTCGTTTGTTCTTATTAGTACCTACACCACAGGAGGTGCATCAATCATTAGGAATGGAAAAAATATGGAAAACTGTATCAAGTTCACATGATTTTCTTCCTTGCACTCTAAACTATGTATGATAATTGAACAGTATTTGACAGGCGTATCATACGCTGTGTAGTTCACTTATTATTTTTTATTCTAAAAAATGAATACCATGGTAATAAAATAACAAATCTCTGATCTGAATTTTAACAGGATCTGGTGTGTTCACCACAAAATGCTTCAGTAAGGGCAGTTTTTTATAAGAATATGTTGGAGAAAAAAACTCGGTGTTAGAAGCTGGAAAGGGAGAAGAAGAGGAGAAGACAACGTCATTCATATCAGTATTTTTACCAATGGAATGGGCATCACTGGTAAAAATGTTACCATTTTCTTTAAACACATTTTTATTTAAACATATAATAAATGCTTTATTTGGTAGTTAGTAGGGAAATTAATGTTGCAGCTGTTGCAGAAAAAAATACACAAGGTGTAACCTGCTTAAGACATTTGAAGTAGGTTTAAATATGTCAAATATTGTATTATAATTATGTAATGTATAAATAATCGTATAAAGTAGGTTTAAGTACGTTAAATATTGTATTATTTATATTAGGAATTAGTATTGCCAAAAATTTGGTATTGTGATACATCACTATTTTTCGTGATATTTTTAAATGCAAATTTGCTACAATTTCAAATGAATTTCCATAATATTTGTTAAAATGTGCTTTAAAAACATAACTTCACTTTTTAAATTTTTATCAATAAAATATAAAGCATGTTTTAATTTCCATTGTTTAACAGTTTTCAACATTTTTTACATTTCCTATAATTGTTGTTTAATACTTTGATCAAATAAATGAATAATATTCAGAATTTATAATTATATACTAAATACTAGTATTTAAGTCTCCGTATCTTGATATGTATCATGAAGAAAGAAATCACAATATATTTATATATCGATAAGTGGCGCATCCCCAATTAATATGTATGTCATTGTATGATTCATTGCTTAGTGGTTCTTAAGAAATAAAGCAGATAATATTCAGAGGAAGTATATATATCCTTTAAACAATGGTTCTTTGTTTTACATCAGTTAAGTTTTGATGATATCCTCTTTTGATTCTTTATATCAAGAATATATTGTTATTAGGGTTCATATGAATACTTTTTGTGACAAAACTAGACCACAAATTGTCTAAAATTCTGAATAATAGCATGACCATGACCATCATTACTTATACTTATAATCAATCATATAAATAAATAAAAAAAAAAAAATAATGCATATGATTCAGGGTTTATTTTATTATTATATGGGGAAACCGAATTGCCTTGATACACTTGTAAAACTTTCTCAATATGACACAGATACGCAGCTGCGATACATCTCTGGATTTTATAGATGTCATTTTATGCTAAAAAAAACAACCAGGACCCGTGGGAGTAAATCGATCGATTTCCCATTGGGCGCGGGAAGGGTACGTTACCAAAGGTGTTTCAAGAAGCCGCAAGCAGGTTTCCGTAGAAGGGAGAAGAAGCAGGAAACGGCGTAAGTGTCCTGTTGAGGACTGCCCCGCAGAGGTTTGTGACTTGAGGCGTCATTTGAAGCTGTGTCATGTCGCCGAGTTCGCCGACTGGAGAATGTCCGAGTTGGTCGGGCGACCCAGAAAGAAGCGCCGGGCTAAGGAGGCCTCGGTAGAGGACAGACCTGTCAATCCTCCTCCTTCACGGAAGGTTGGCTGCCCAATCTGCAAGAAGCCTTTTCGAAGGCTTGACAAGCACTTAAAAGCAGTGCACGAGTTAGAGGGAGAAGAGTATAAGCCATGCCAGAACGCATTGTTCTCCCAGCAGGCTTAGGTAGCCCCAGAAAAGCTGCAAGTGCAGCATACAAGGAGAGGTTGTTGGAGAAGTTCGAAACCTGGCTGACCAGCTTAGGTGGCTCCAATGTACCGGCTGCGCAAGCAGCCAATACGTGCAGAATGGAAGGCCGTATCCTGGACATGTTCGTTCAGATGAGCGGCGGCATAACCCTATTACCCTCAACCTTATGCCATTTCATGTCGCTCGGAGATAAGGGAAAAGTCCTCGACAAACTAAACGTCAAGTACCAGTTGAGCATCGGTACAGTTGCTAACTATGCATATGCTGCCAGCAAATTTATTGACTTTCTTAGTCACGATTGGCAGCTTGTTAACCCCTGGAGTACCTAAGAGGACTTTTTGCAGCTGAGCACTTGCGTTTACAGAATCAAATCGAATTTAGCAAAAGAACGGCGTGCCACTGCCCCTGAGAAACGGCCACATACTGTGACCGAGTAAGACATCCCGCAAGCCGACCATGTCAAGGGCTACTTCTGCTCCCTTACTTACAAATGGGTCGCGGAGGTATTGGACTCTTATAACAGGATCCTCAGTTTCCTTTATTGGAGATTAGTTTCTCCAATGCTAAAAGGGCTGGGGACCTATGTAACCTCACCTTGCATGAGTTTTCTCAAGCTCAGAGAAACAATGAGGTTCACATTACAAGAGTCTCTAAACACAAAGTGGAAAGTAAGGCCTGCCTTGTAGCATTCACCTCCAAGCAACCTCTGTGGATGCTACGATTCATTACCTCCATGCGGCCAAAAAGCGATCTACAGAATAAGGGACGGAAATTAACGCCTTCCGATGTGGTTCGGAACATGAACCACCAGTGGAGTTTGTGCTCCACTGAAATCCGGGAGAAACTACCATGGTTTAGCACAACCACAATCCGCAAGGCAGTGGATTCTTACCATTGACAGGGCAGGCACACCCAAGAAGAGGAAGCAGATCTGGCAGAACACATGGCTCATGACAAGTCGACTGCAGATTTGTATTATGACCTAGAGAGACGGCGAGAGCGAGTAGCCGCCTCGTCAAAGGTCTTGCATTCAATGTGGAATAGGGATTTACATGAAGCAAGGTCCGAGTCCTCCTCGTCGGAAGAGGAAGACTCTGGAGACGACGTAATCCCACCTTCTAATACGGTTGAAAGCGAGGAGTCTTCTATGGAAAGCCATAGGGGACCCCCAGGGTCAGGGTCTATATAATCTATAGTTTTAACCCTGGCCACCCATGATTTCTACCCTGGCCTTCCCATCTTTGAAGCCATAGGGGACCCCCAGGGTCAGGGTCTATATAATCTATAGTTTTAACCCTGGCCACCCATGATTTCTACCCTGGCCTTCCCATGTTTGCATCATGGACACCCCACGCTTTATCATCATGGCCTAGCCGTATACAACCTGGCCGATCCATGTTTGCAGCATGGCCATCCCATCTAGTCATGTTTACCCCGACCATACACAGCCTAGCCCGGCCATGTACTACCCTGGCCTAGCCATGTTCGCACCATGCCTATCCCACGCTTCTAAACATGACCTGGCCATCTTCACCCTGGCCATGTATATTATCATGCATCTTGCATTCGACGATTAGCTATCCTGGCTGGCCATGTTCAACCTGGTCTTGCATAATAATGTCTTGGCGTGGCCATGTTCCCCATAACCCTCTACCATACATAGCCTAGCCTGGCCATTTTGCTCGCGTACCCTGGCCGTATAGGCCTGGCCATGATAACCCTGGCCATGTACACCCTCGACCCGGTACATTGCCAAGATTTCGGGTGACCTCGATCATTAATTCCCAAGCTTCTACGAGATGAACGGCCAAGATTTCAAAAGATCGAGATTTGGCCAGCCAAGATTTCAAGAGATCGAGATTTGGCCAAGATTTCTAAGGACGCGGATGTGGAGGCATCGTGTTTATTTGATGTAGGAGGCATCGTGATCGTGGTCATTACTGATTACATTTAATGTAAGTAATATATCAATAATATTCTTTGTTGTTTGTTTTAGTGTTAATAACAAAAATTCTTGTTTTTTGATGTAAGTTATACATGAATACAGTTTATACAGTTATTTGACTTTCTCCCAAAACTGAGCGAGTCTTTCATAATCGAGGAAATTCGAATGAAATGTTCATTTTGTATTGAAACTCAATTAACATTCATAACTATTGATCTTATTTTCCCTAAAATTATTTTTTATATCAATAGATTTATAAAATATAATTAATAGAAGCTATATGTCTTTTAAGGTTGATGATTTCTATCAATCATTGTATCTTCCTTTTACTATTCCCAAATTTAAAATTCAAATTGTCCTCTTAAGCTTACAGCTAATAGGAATATCCACTGACCAAAATTAATTTTCAAATATTCGGAACTAATATCTATTTATAATTTGTTTACTTTTGCAGGATGTTCTGCATAGAATGTGGTAGTCACCTAGAACCCAACAACAAGTTCTGTGGGGAATGTGGCACTGCTGTAAAGAAGAAAAGTATGTATGGGGTTTAAAGAATAATTGAATTTTGAAATTAAGTGCCATTTATTATGAGCAATTTAGAAAAAATAAATTGCTTAACTGCTCAAAAATGATTATATATAGATTATATGTGCTCTTACGTATAATGATACATATGATATCTATAGTCAGTCATATTCAATATATCATATTCCACCCAGAGCACTAGCAAAATTATTATGAAAAAAGTTCAGTGATTGGGAAGGTCATAAAGGGCAATGGGACTATGGTCCAACTGTCAAACTTTTTAATGGGCCATTTTGAAAATGAATGGGCCATCCATATATTTTGATGGGTCATTTTAAGAAAAATACAAATTTTTAAATGACAAACAAATGTGAAATACAAAAGGAAACCAATTTCTTTATTAACCAAATTTTATATTTCATGTATGCCGTGTAGCACATTTAAAGGAACCCACAAACAGTATAATTTTGGGTCAATAATGTCAAAATTTCAATTAAACATTGAAAATGAATGAGGTAACGTTCCTTTGTTGCCCTAAAAAAATGCTTCATGTAACAAGAAGCAGTTTTTGCCAGGTTTTAACCAGTCATATTTGTAACAGTTGTATTTACATGACTACATTTAAAACAAAAGTAAAACAAGCAAGAAAGTCGTTCACAATATATTTCCAAATAACATCGCTGAAATTTGGATGTGCACCTTGGCGACACCACTGGTTGATTTAATGCGCCAATTTTCACTTCATTGCAACTATGCTGCAAACCCTTCTCACTCACTGAAAGTTGCAAAATAAATTTTGAAAAGATGCATATATAGACAATTGTGTGACAAACTTTAATAAGCATTGGTGTCTGTTATAAGTATTACAAAAACAGTCTGGGATGAAGAAATATATTTATTTCAGAATAAAAATGCTGTAAAATATAAAACAATTTTAATGTTAGAGATGAAAGATGAATTTTATGTCCATGTATTGACATATGTACATGTTCATAGACAATAAAAATGATTTTTTTTTTCATGTTTGCAGCTGTTGATGTTGAGTGCACACCAGTTGCAAAAGGCGAATTAAAGTTAATGGAAATTCAGTTATATAAATAATTTGGTTTTGATAAGGATGTTTGAAAATGTATTGTATTAATGAAATGGATATTATTGTTTAGGCAGGGTTGCAGATACTCGTGATATCACGGTACCAAGTGAAGGTAATTCTTATAGATATTCAGTAGATAGATAGATAAATGGATAGATAATGGATGAATGGATGGATGGTAAGCATGTAATATGTCCTCCTAGATTGTAGAAAAATTACTTTATTTGTTGTCATTTTTAAGCGGAACAGAAACCAAGTGGAAGTGGGTCCACAGGCCCTTTCAAAAGGATTGAAGATGAAGGTAAATAAATTTTATATTTAACTGAGGACATACAAGTATTATGATATGCTAAACAACAATGTAGTAACTAGAATTATGGTAAACTATAGCACAGGCAAAAATTAAAACATGTTCCGACTTAAAACATCCATATGTAATTCAGTATCTATAACTGCAAGAAAACATGTGCAAAATATAAAATGGACAAGAAATTTGCCTCATACACTTTGGTCAGCAATTACACTTAAATCCAAGTTTGTACAGAAATCAAAATATATATTTTTGTAAATATTTAGTCCATAATTATACATTTACAAATAAATGAACTGAAAAGACTGAAATGCACATGAAAGCTACTACATTTATATACAACTGATTTGTAAATTGACAGATTTTCTTTTTTTATGTCTATGAAGGAGTGAAGTCTAAACTGGATTTTTTGAGGGCAAAATTCATCACCAGTAAAAAGAAGATGATTGGTACCACCTTCTCCAAAGAGAGTGAGAAACCAGAGGTAAAGACTTGAAATTAAAGACAAATTAGTTATATACAAGTGTTTTTGTCACCATTATTATTTGCATCATCAGTTTATTAGATTGAAAAAAATTTGGACCTTCTATTTTGTGTGTGGGTGTTAAAAAAAGGGGGGGGGGGGGGTTCACATGAATCACTCAATTAACCTATTGCCATCTATGTTAGTATATGGTGTGTTAACAAACATTTTCGACTCTTCTCTGAAACAATTGATCACTGAAAATTAACGAATAAAAAATACACAGAAAATTAAAGCTATCATATACTTTTTTTTCTGTTAATAATTTTTTTCTTTTGGACTCATTCTTGTCGGAATGTTTCAAGATGCTAAATATATTTTTTGCAGCTGATTTGATGCATTGCGTCAATTTAAATTGTTATATAATGAATTGGGTTCTCTATTCACTGCAATTTTATTCCAATGTCATATTAAAGTCAATTGAGACATGGAATTGACAACCAGGAAACAGAATGCTATTTCTTTGGTAACAATATCAAATTATTTTGGGGTAGATGAAGGGAAAAAGCCGAATGTTTTGTGTGCGATTAGGATGTTATTTAATGCATGGAAGCCTGTGTTCAGTTTGTGTGTTGTAATGTCTTTTCAGAAGGCTGTCATTAAAAATAAGTCAACACTTATTAAAGAGTTCTTCTGATTATAGTGAATTGTTTTGTTGGTTTGATAATAATGATGTAAAATGGTATGTCCCCAGCGTTTCATTATAAATGTGTTTTACTGTACTGTTATGAACCTTTGTAAATATCAGAAATGGAAAAATAAAACATTAAAATGTTCAAACCAAATCATGACAATGTCCAATTGAATTTGATTTAAAATAGCTCAGTGTCTAGTGCATTTCTGTTGTTGTTGGTATGTATTAACAGAGTTAATTGGTCTATTACTTGTAAATTATTTAGGCTCCCTACTTCAACATATTTGATTTTGAAAAAAAAATTCTTCTTAAACACCAGTGTTTAGAAATTCGCTTCTTGGATCAAAATGAGAAAAGGATCCAACGATTGTTCAATGGAGTGGATGCTTCTATGATATTGAGAGTTGAGAAAGATTCTTCGATGGACAATTGGATGCAGAGTGTGGAAAACAAGTTCAAGACATCATTCACAATGGTACCTATGAGGTTGGAGGATAAAACGTACACAGAGTTACCACGGGACCTTAAGTACCAAGAATTAAAGAAGCGTTCAAAGGGGAAGAGAAAGTACCATGGATTTTACGTTAAAATATATGCAAGTAAGTGTGTGTGTGTGTGTCCATAAATGCTAAATTTATAAATTATCAATTGTTTTTTTTAGTAGAGCCCTCTGAATTTTTTAGAAACGCTTGTTTTAATTAAGATTTTGTATGTGGATGCCCAGTAAAATGTAAGAATTTGGGTTTAATATTTGGGGCATCATTAATTATTATTTGTGGATGGACAAAACAAGTCAATAATTTTAAGTTTCAAACAATTGAATTACAGCACGAGGAAATATTGTAAAAAATGTCAAAAAAGTAAGATTTGTTATTTTGTTCCACTTGATTGATTTTGGTTTGTTTTAACTTTGAAATGAAAATTTTTCTGAACAAAGGTGGTCTGTCGTGCTGATGTATTCAGTATTAAACTTTGAAAATTAATCATGATATCAATTATTCTCAGATGAGAGTTAATACCTGGTAGCTATAAAGTTGATATTTTCTGTATGTTCTGGGGGGATCAAACCTTAATATCTCCCAAACTTTCAAGCAGTAAATTGTTATTATACCAAACAACCTATTACTAAGTTAAGAACTGCGAACGATAGTATTGTTCTCCTGCCTACATCCAAGTCAATTTTCAAAAGTTAACACATTTGAATGATTTTTCAAATCTATAGAGATATTTATATGAATTTTCATAAAGCGTCATTTCTTTGGGAAAACAAAGAGAGATAACTCTATAATTTTGGGAAAACTTGCGTTTTTCACTATAGAAATCAACGGAAAACGGAAAATATTTTTAAAACATCTTTCCCCCCGTGAAACAAAAATTCCTTTTTACAGGTGATATGGACTGTCATTTCACAAATTTGTACCGAAGCTTTTTGTGTTTCACGGGGGGGGGGGGGAACATATGTTTACAGACAAAAAACAACAAAAATGCTTATTTTTTCACCAATTTCAAAGGGGTTTACAGCTAAAACATTTTATTTTATCAATAATATATGTTTAATTTTATATGAGTAAAACATAAGAAAAGATTTAAGGAACATTTATTCATATCCAAGTATATTTTAAAATGTGTTCATGCTTAAGAGTCAGATTTTTTTTTTTTTTTTTTTTTTTTTTTTTTTTTTTCCACATTTATTTCCCAGACCTATAACATTAAAGATGATATATAGGGCAGCTACCAGGGATGGGGCCCTGACTAAGCTCCCTCTATAACAATATATAATAATAATCCCTACAGCACCACGCAGGATGCTAAATATCTAAATCTTAATACAATGTCTCACATAATTTATTCATATCATACATTCAATATGTATATTAATTAAATTGTATAACATATAAAAAAAAAAACCCAAAAAAAAACAGAGAATATTTATCCGGAATCAATTTTGGTTCTAAATTTCTTGTTCGTATTTGCAATCCGGTGCGATTCATGAATGTATTGCAATATATTGAATAAATGGGAAAACATACATGGAGCTTAATTTAAATCTGGATTGTGGAAAACAGGTAACAGTTTCTCGAATTCTGTTAATACAGTTAACGTTAAATTCATATCTCCCTTAAAATTGCGTTTATCATTTTTTAACAATTGAAAAATTAATTTCATTTCTTTCGTGAATGCTTTTTGGAGCAATGAGGTAGTTATTTTTTTATTTTCATACTTGATACTGTTTCTAGTTTTCCATATTGACCACTTATATATATAAATCAAAGTGTTAACACATATTCGAACGTTTTTCGGTTCTCTGGCAAATCCCAGTAGAACAGTACATGCATCAAAATTGATTGAATCCTTTACAGGTATTAGTAAAATTATTCTTTGTACCAAGAGTCCGATTTTAGTGAAAAATATCGTCTACCCCCTTACTTAAAGAGCTGGAATTAGGGGTAATTAACTATTTAACACTGGTATTAATATTATCAGTCAATTACCATTGAACTGTTCTTCGCATTCAACAAAGATTTTACGGCCAAATTGTCATTAATATTGAATTAAATGGGTGTAAAATGTAGGCGGGAATCGAGAGTTAGCGTGCGTAGTTCTTTAAACAGAATATTTCATTTTCCTAATACTGTAGATCACTTAATTTTCGCAACAGCTTATTTTGGCGAGATAGTAATTGACACTTTATTAGTGAGACAAAGTTTTCACGAATTGTGGTTAGTGCTCTATATAATCTTAAAGAATACTAATATATGCGAAAATGAAATTTTTGTGAGCACTCTGTCTAGTATTATTACGCCAAAACGAAGTTCCCGCAAATAAAAAGTGATTTACAGTAGTTTTCCAACCCTACTAAGGTAAAAACACAGTGAATGTTTACCTTTTTATGTTAATTTGTCCTTTTCTTTCATCATTTGAATTTATTGCTGACTTTGTTTTCTGATATAAGGATTTTGGATATTCAAAGATTTTAGATTCATTTGTTTGTTTACATCAAATGATGGTCACATGTGACTTACAAAGAGTGGAATATGATATTTATTCCTTGGGAGACTTGGTGTTTTATTCACCCTGTCACATGACTGTCTAGACTGATAAAATGATGCATTATGAAAGATTTTTCTTGTTTTATGAACATTATAAATTATCAGCATATAGGAGCTAGGGAAGGAAGGAGTTTCCTATGTAGAGCTAGAATACCAGAAATACATTTTAAGTAAAAATCATTGAAGCCTTGTTGTAAAACTGTAATAACAATTAAGCTTTGGATACTGATGTACATTGTTCATTTCAGTTATGTTACAGTATACAGATATCATTAGTCACAATTTTGAATAGAATGCTTTGGTTGGATGTCTAAATTTTAATATATTTTTCAATCTTGCAATTTTGTTGTATTTTCTAAAGGGTCCAAGCATTGAATCAGATAATGTGTTGTCAGGAAGCGGGGTAAATGTAAGTACCTTAATAATACATATGATATGGTAGATATCTTCATATGATACTTTATACAGTATACAGTTTTAATTTCAGTGGTTTCTAAATTTGCATGACATGTATATTGTCTTCCTTACAATGACACATAAATTTTGTGAACCTCATAAAGTTCCATCATGTAAAGAAATACTGTACCTTTAGCTGAAAATTATATATACAAATTCATTAGACTGGTTGGCTCTGTCAGTAAATATATTGAAAGTGCCCGCTTTGCCCACGGTTTATTTCCGATAACCATACAGCATATGATAGATGCATACAATCCATACAGCAAATGATAGGTATAGATCTCTATAATTCAGATGCATTACAAGAAAAAAAAGTCTTACAAATAATATGATTAATTTTACAGGTTCTCATATAATCTTCTGTTTCACTGAAATAATTAGAAAATGATGTTTTTCTTTAAACTTCTAACCGAGAAGTGGTGTGTGTGTATGTGCATTGGACTTATTTTGATGTCCAACTGCCTGACAGTAACCAGTAACCAGATAAAATGTAAAATAAATATCAAGTAATCATCATACAGTATCTCTCCTTGGATGATTATGATTTATTCTTCAATTTTTTTTAACAGAAGCCAAAAAGTCAGCGCATTGTCCTCTCTGACTCGGAATACGAGTTTGAAGACCCTGTAAGTTTAGCACAAGTAATAATTGGTTTAAGGAATTCTTAGAGAATATTTATCAATCATATGCAAGAAATTGCTTGAAAAATAACTTTTTTATTTGCACATATCATTTTACACACAATGTACATATAATTTACAGAAATGATTATTCTTATAGGAAAAGAAATTGAAGACAGAAACCCCTAAAACAAGTACACCTGTTTGTACACCATCCAAAGTGGTAATTTGATAATTTTCTCTTGGATAGGAAGATTACAGTTTTATTTTAACTGCACTATATAAACAAATGTAGATGATATTTGGTGGTTATGAGGTAATGGACAAACAATCAGTATATACATGAATTATTGTAAAATGCATTGTATTTAGCCCTTTAGGCTTTGTCAGATTGTTACAACTGGTGAACTATGCAAGTTTTAATCTATATGAGACTATGAGTTGGCCATTTCAGATTGAATTTTGAATTTCATATTTTACAATAGGTACATGTAGCAGCTATTGACGAAGATCTACCCATGCTTCATTCTCCTTCAAAGGTAACAAAGTGTTTTTTTTTTACAATTATATAAGTCCATATTAAAGTAATGTACAATTGGACAGGTTTTACTTGTGTTTATTTAATTGATGCATTTTATGTTATCCCTATTAAGTTTCCATGGTGCTTAGAAAATTGCAAAAAGGGAGATAATTCTTTTTTTTCAGATAAATTGAGACTTAGAAATATTTAAAAAATTATATTTTATTCACAGATCTGCCACACAAATACTTAATGATATATTCTCACTAACAGATATATATTTACTCCTTTGTTTGCAGAAAGAGAAGAGAACATCCAGCCCTGGACAATCATCAGTAAGATTACAAAACTCACTGAATTTGTTTTGTTTTTAACAATTCCCACCCAACACACTCCCCATAGTTTGAGTCAATTTTCAAGCAAATTTTTTATTCCTTTATTTTTTGGTAAGCTTACAGGGAATAACTGGAAATTTTAAAAGGCCAAGTATAAATTTAATGGGTATGATTTTCAACAGATTTCAACAGGTTTGATTTTCATGTACTCTGACGGTGAAATAAAGTTGCATCCTCTGAAGTGTATTTGTATTTAAAACAAAATTAACATTACTTGTAATGTTCTGTATTACAAACTTTGGTTCTAAGATATTGTTAGGTTTAAAAAAAAAACACCTAAGAATGCCATTTTCAAGTATTGTACATAATCGCTTGTATTTTCAAAATGATAGTAAATGTGTTACCAAAAAATTTGTCAACAAAGCAAAAAAAAAAAAAAAATCTATTTGTGAAAAGGTTGATCTCTTTACAATACCATTCTGATCAGGGATGGGCACGATTACTGAAAAATGTAATCAATTAATAATCGATTACTTAGAGGAATTTTGTGTAATCGATCATTAATCGATTACACTCATTTTTGTCCTGTAATCGATTGTAATCGATTACTTTGGAAGATGTAATCGATTAATAATCGATTACTTCCAAGTTTTTATCCCTTCAAATATCAAAGCAATTTTTAAATGGTAAATGTTGATGTTATCCACTGAAGTTTGAATGTGTTCCTGCACTTCCAAAGCAGATTCTTTTAAGGTTTTATGCTGGCTAACATTCTCACTAAATGTATGTATTAATTCTCACTGTATGTATGTATTAATCGTGTTAATTTGTTTTATGTTATTATTGTTCATGACTGTATGCCGACATGGTAATTGTCAATAAATTGAATTGAAATGCCCGAATGAGGGATTCTCTACCATGGAAAGTGGAGACATGATTCCTACAATAAAATATGCCAAGGAATTAATTATTCCTTCCAACCTTGGATCTGAACCTCCATATTTACTGACTTGTTGCAAAAATTATCTAATATTCTATTGTGAATTACTTCATTAGAAGTATTTGGGCTGCCTGTATGTTGACAGTATACATTAAACATTCCTGCACATGTCTTTTAAAAAAAAACAACAAGTAAATTAGAACTCTTAGTAATAAACATATAAATTAAATGGGTCTTTAAGTAATCAAACTAATAGCACAGTTTCATTCTGTAAAGTGTTTTGAGAGCTATTAATTGTTTTAATAATATTGTTTGTCTTCCATGGAATGAAAGTTAAACACTAGGAAGTTCACAGTTTACACCTCATTATCTGCAAATCAGGGATGTCTCAGTCAATTAATTAGTCAAGATAAGCAAACACAGTGACACTTACTCCCTTTCTTACAAACACTTACATGTATATAACCTCTCACTGATATAAAAACAACCTTACAATTTTGAATGAAAACATGAGAATGATTTTTCAAATTTTAAAGTTACTAAAACACAAGTTTGAATTTGTTTAAACATTTTCAGATATGAATAAGTATTTCCATCTTCTTCTTTTTTTTTTTTTTTGAGTACAATGTAGTTTATTTACCAAATTATTTACATATAATATAGCACTTAAATCTGTTTTTGCTATTTACAATTTTCTATTACAAGACAAGTTTTTCAACATCTGAAACATGAAAAAGGACATGCAGCAAGAGGACAGTGGGTCAAATGTAAAATGCACACAAAAATCTGTATATTTCATTAATAAATGGTTGAAATACACTCCTGAATTATTTAATACTAGACCAGAAGGTCTATAATGCAAATTTTATTGAGAACATTATTAAACTTATGATAATAAAAGTTAGGAAATCCAAACATTACACTAGGTGGTTTATATTTGATATTTAAGTGTGACTGATTGGAAATAATTCTCCAAAATAACATCCATTTATGTATAAAATAATCGAAAGTAATCGAAAAAGTAATTATAATTACATTGAAAATTTTAGCTGTAATCGATTAAATTACGATTACAAGTAATTGAAAATCTCTTCGATTACAGATTACTGTCGATTACTTGAAAAAAAGTAATCATTACAATCGATTACGATTACTCGATTACGATTACCCCATCCCTGATTCTGATATACCATTATATACCAGAGTATGCCAAATTGGGGAATTGAAATTTTGAACTTTTATACAATCCTTGGAATAAGCCAGTTGTTTATGTTTTAAAAATAAAATAACATCACTTTGATGACTTTTCACAATAGCTTTCACAATTATATAACATACCATTGATAATGGATCTACAAAATACATTTGCAGATTGAGAAAGACTGTGAAGAGCTGCCAGATATTCCTTTACCTATGACATTAAAGGTACATGTAATGTAATGTAATATAATGTAATTTAATGTAATGTAGTGTAATGTAATGTAATGTACTGTAATGTAATGTAATGTTGATTTACTTGACAATTTTAGGATACAGATGCATCTACATGTACAGATGATGAAGACTGGACATCAAATCTTGAAAATAAGGTATTGATTTCTGAAATTTGCAGGTTAAACATCAAGAGCTTGAATTACATATACATATATCTATTTATTTATTTTTGACACAAAAAAGTCTTTGATGACTAGAAATTGCTACATAGAATAACCAGTGTTAGTGTATTTTTTAAAAACATTCCTTTCCTTCATTTGAGACTTGAATTTCATATATATACCTAATATGTCGTACGATATATAACATAACTTGGGTCAGTTTACATTTTTTCTCACATAGATGAATACTCGACATTCCCTGAAAAAATGTTGAAAAAGTTAAAAAAAATTTTAACCTGAAATGCTACCAGATATGGTATGCAGGCTAAATAAGGTAATCAAAACACAGCAATTGTGCTTTTCATAAATTCATGTTTTCAGCCCTGTGGGCATTGTGAAATGCATACCCTTTAAAGTGTATTATGAGCCATGGATTGCAATAAATAATGCAAATTCATTTGTCTCTGGCACTTTACTGTAAGCATGTTTTACTGCAACTGGTCTGTAATGCCCATATGCCTTGGTCTGTCACTCTATGCATACACATCAGGAAAGGGATGATTAATGATTATATACTGAAAATGAATTAATGCTTTGAAATCTGCTCCATGGTATTAATCAAACATTTATGATGAGCAATGGTGCCTCTTTCAAAATTGTGAATTTCAAGGCCTCTGGTTTAAAACATGAACCAAATTCAGTTGTTGGAAAGTTGTTACATGATACTCAGGTGACCTATAAGGCCCGGGATCCTCTTGTTTTTTCTAATATTTATTTGCTTATCTAAAAATTTATGATTTCTTGTGGGTATTTCTTGTATACATTAATGTTTATTCATATATACAGGTGGATGAAGACAATATCCTGAAAGACTTTGAGGAAGTAAGTATCAGTTATTATTTCTCTCTCTCTATGTTTGTGGGACTGTGTGTGTGTCCACAGACAAACACACAAACCACAAAGAAAAATGCAGTGATAGAGCTCCACTTCTGCCCCTGCCTGAGGTTGAACTCTAGATATACATGTAGTTAAAGAATGGAAGGGGGAGGGGGAAGAAGAGTCTCAATAGTTTTTGTTATTTGTTATTTTGTTACATTGATAATTACACTTAAAAGTGCTCTATATTATTGGTAAACAAAATGCTTCTTTTTAGTAATAAACAAGAGAAGGATGTTGTTTTTGGTGTAAAAATACTTTATAATATTTGGATCAACATTCATTATAAGAATTTTTTTTACTGAAAGGGGGTACATGTAATGATGAGAACTTGTTGTTTGTCAGACTTTGAAATATTGAATTAAGTCAGTTCACAATGCTGAATGATATTTAGACATCTTAAAAATATAGATTACTTTATTTTTGTCCACTGCTTTAATTGAAAGTGGGGAATTTTAATTTTGGTCTGTCTGTTCTTCTGTATGTATTTCTGTCTGTCTGCAACACTTGTTTCAGAGCGATAACAGGAAAAGCTTTTGACCTTTTGCAGTGAAATATTACACAACAACTCCCTAAGGCCTAAGAGAGATCCCTATTTATTTCATGACCGTAGGAAAGAGGGGGTAGTCCCCCCCCCCCTTTGAATAAATTTGCCACTTGTAGAATACTATAGAGAACATAGCTACTATATGCCTGTGCCCCCTCAATAATAACATCTGATGCCCCGCCTTTTTTTTTTAGCTCACCTCGACGAAGTCGAGATGAGCTTATGTTATACCCCCGGTGTCGGCGTTAGCATCGGCGTCCCGGTTAAAGTTTTAAGAGCAAGTCTATTCCCAAGTAACTATAAGCCCTACCTGGACCATACTTGCATGGATGATGCATCTAGGGATGGACACTGTCACACTTGCTTTGGATGCTGGATCTGATCTACATTTTCCAGATGAGTGACCAGGTTAAAGTTTTTGGAGCAGGTTCATTCCCAAGTAACTATAAGCCATATCTGGACCAACTTGCATGGTTGATGTATCTAGGGATGGGTACTACCAGACTTGCTTCAGATGCTGGATCTGACCTACATTTTCCAAATGAGTAACCATGACAATGTGTTTGGAGTAGCTCTATAATTATATAGGCTGTTATGATTTAACTTACATAGATGGTGCATTCCAGACTTGCTTCAGATGTAGGAAATGAAAGTCTGACATTTTCTTGATTTGTGAAAAGCTTAAAGTTTTTGGAACAGGTCAATTCCCAACGAACTATAAGACCTTCTTACACAGAACTTGCATGAATATTGTTTTCAGGATGCACACTAACTATAAAGAAAATATGATGTGAGATTTGCATAACTTTTACTGATAACATTCGTTGAGGTGAGCTTCGTAATCTTTGATTACCTATGTTTTTTGCTCGTCAAGGAATCTTTGGTAGTTGATAGTGCCCCCCCCCCTCCCCCAAACTAAAATTGCTTTCTATGGGCCTGTATTTTTAGGTCAAAAGGGAAAAAAATCAAGTCATAAATTCATTAATTCTCTCTGTTTTAACACTTGTTTTCGCATGAAATCTCAAGAAGCCTTTGAGCTTTCTTTTGCAGTGAAATTTTATACCACAAATCCCTATGGACTAAGGAAAACCCCTATTTATTTTAAGGTCAAAGTCAATGCCGTAATTTCATACATTCTGTGTGTGTGTAAAACTTTCATTTCTGGGCGATATCTCAAGAAGCTTTTGCAATGAAATTTATACCATAACTCCCTTTGGCCCTGGCCCTTTTTAAAGTGTCCCCCCCCTCCCAATCCACTCATGCTCTTCTCTTTAGCTCACCTGAGCTTGAAAGCACAAGTGAGCTTTTTTGATCACATTTTGTCTGTAGTCCGTCTGTCTCTAAACTACTCGCATTTTCGACTTCTTCTCCAGAACCACTGAGCCACTTTCAACCAACTTGCCACAGAGCATCCTTGGGTTAAGGGGTTCAAGTTTGTTCAAATGAAGGGCCACGCCCCCTTCCAAGGGGACATAATTAAGATTTATTGAAAAATTAATACCATCTTTTAAAAATCCTTTTTTCAAGAATCACATGGCCAGGAAAGTTGAAACTCCTGTGGAAACATCCTCAGGTAGTGAAGATTCAATTTTGTACAAATTATGACCTCCGGTGGTAGGGCAGGGCCACAATGGACAATCAAAGTTTTACATAGAAAATATATCGGAAAAAAATATTTTACATAGAAATATATAGGAAAAAGTCTTTAAAAATCTTCTTCTCAAGAAAAGCAAAGCCATGATTGGTCATTATGGAAGCATCCTCAGGTAGTGTAGATTTTATCTTATTCAAACCACGATTCCCGGGGGTAGGGTGGGGCCACAATGAGAGATCAAAGTCTTACATAGGAAAATATAAGAATATCTTTTTTTTCTCAAAAACAGAAAAGCTATGTTTAGTCATATTGATATTGAAGCATCCTCAGTTAGTGTAGATTCAAGTTTGTTTAAATGATGGCCCCTGGCATAGGAAGGAGCCACAATGGGGGATCAAATTTTTACAAAGGAATATATGGGAATTCTTTTTTTAAAATCTTCTCAAGTACAACAAAGCCATTTGTTATATTGACATGGAAGCATCATCAGGTAGTTTAAAATTCAAGCCCCCCCCCCCCTCTAATCTTTTCAATACTGGACTGATTTGTGCTTTTGCCTAACCCAATGTCCTTAGGTGAGCGATGTGTCCCATGGGTATCTTGTTTCATTAAGCTGGGACACAGATTATCTGAATTAGCTTGTCTGTTTTGGAATTAGGTACTCTTTTCATTCCTTCCTTCATCATTGTGTTGATAGAAATTAGATTACCAAAATTCCATTTTTACTCAACCATATGAATGCTGTGTAAGCTTGCATGCATGGACATTTATGAGAGCCTTGTGGAGAATGTTTTCTTGTAGTAAAAACTGCTTCAATTGGATTTTATCCTTAATTCTTACAGATGATGCAGAAAAAAAGAGAAAGGCAGTTGGTAAGCATAGTTGTCTAAGTTTTGTATTGCGTATGTGTCTATCAACGTGGAGGGAATTAAAAATGTAAAGTAATTCTTGTTATTAACACAGTTTCCATGCATTTATGCACACAATATGATACTTTATGATATCATATTTCAGACAGAGAGGAACATGCATATTTGTGAAAGCATGATTTAAATTAATACTAAAGTTCATATAAATAATACTGTAGGTTCCTCACATTACAAGAGTACTCAATTTCATGATTCTGCCATTTAAATTTGTTTCAAATCATGAGAACATAAAATTGTGAGCACCAAAGTTTTGTTATATGTGAACATGTAATTTCATATAGTTTACAGATAGCAGAAAACTAATCAAAATAATCCCAAGATTTTAAGATCTATGAGGGGTACTTCTGGCATTTTTATGTTGATAATAATTCCCCACCATGAAATGGGAATCTACAGTACAAGTTACTAACATGCTACACGAAAGAAGCTTGCGTGAGATATCAAGGTGAATCCCCTTATATGTTTAGAAAATTGAAGAATTTCTGAAATGCTTTTATTGTGTTTTGTGTAAATGGCACACAACATTTTACATATGACAGATTTAATCTTTGTATTCTTTGTTTGTCGGAAACTGTTCTTTAAATAAAAACTGTTTAATTCCATTTAGAATTTCTTACATGATATATATATATATATATATATATATATATATATATATATATATATATATATATATATATATATCCTTGAACAGCACTGACTCTTGTTTACTAAAAAAATTAACTCCCTGCAACACACGTTCTCTACCCCTTTATATATACATTAGGTTGCTCATCAAGAGCAATGCTCTTATCGAGGTCAATTACATAATAAATACATGTATATTGGTTGCTCACAATTTGTACTATCATCCTACTTAACAATTTTACATAAGGCACTAAATGAAATAACTAAAACAAAAAATATTTCAAATATAAAACGATTTTGCAACTATACATGCTGTAGAATTACTGTTCTGGACAAAATTATTTTTATTAGTTTTGTTTATCTAGCTTAAATGAAATATACATATTTGAAATAAACATTAGTTTATTTTTTCAAGTTTGCAGAGAGCACCTTCATCGACTTCCCGACGAAAGAGGATGTCAGAAAAAATCTGTGTGTTGTTTACGAATGTCATGGAGGTCTTGCGATAAATCGACCGTTCAAATATGGTGACACAGTCAAGGTATGTTAATTAGAGGAGGAGTGTATCAAGGAGATACAACTTTGTTAAACACTTAAGAGTAACAAATTTAAAGTAAATTGTATGCAATACATGTAGCTACCATACAAGATGCATGTATTGTAAACATAATTTTTATTTTCATATACATTAAATTAGGTATATGTGCAGGTACTGAAGAACCTAATTTTATGTGTTACTTAAATTGCTCCAAGTATAAATCATATACCCTGTGTGCCAGCATTTCATGTGCTGATTTGAATTAAAATTCAATAACTTGCATGATTTCTTGTACTTTGGTATTTAATTTATATTAAATTAAGCACATGAATAAATACAAGTTATAAACATCTAATTATGTCATTATTATTTCTTAGAGTGTATATAGCTGGATTATACAACAAATGGATCCAGAAATTCTTCCCCCGGTGTTCCATTTAGAGTGCTCATCCCCAACCAGTTGCCAGAACAAAGGATGCCCCCATATATATGAATTGGGCAACAGCTATAAAGTTAAGGTCGAGGAGTTGCCGGATGTCTTATACCTTCGTGAAGGGGTAGGTATTTCATGTACCATCTTTGAAGATGCAAAGAATTGTAATTGCATGGATGTCATAAAGTCAGTCTCTGTATTAAGCAGTTAACTGTAGTTAAAATTAGATTCATTCAATTAGCTAAATTCACTCCAACACCACCAAGAATAATTTCTGAGTAGGCAAAAATTTAATGGCATAAAAAAATGAATACTGAAATATGTCGAAAGAAATACATTGAGAAAAAATTATTTTCACCTTTTCAGTGTTTTGCTGTAAATGATACCTTTACTGGTCTTGGGGATGTCCTGATTTAGCCAGTCAGCAGCATTCAGGAATTTTGTGGCGGCCTTCTTTGCTTTACTTTTTGTAATCATTAGTTTTTTAGTATTGTAACTGGAGTTTTTTTCGGGGGCGGTAATGTGGCCACTCCAATTACACTACATTTATATATATGTAATACTGAAATACTTTTTGTATTCGTAAGTTTTTTTAGTATTGTAACTGGATTTTTTCCGGGGGCGGTAATGTGGCCACTCCAATTACACTACATTTATATATATGTAAAACATTTATATATATGTAATACTGAAATACTTTTTGTATTCGTTAGTTTTTTTAGTATTGTAACTGGAGTTTTTTTATCGGGGGCGGTAATGTGGCCGCTCCAATTACACAACATTTATATATATGTAATGCTGAAATACTTTTTTTTATTGTTAGTTTTTTAGTATTATAACTGGAGAGCTTTATCGGGGCGGTAATGTGGCCGCTCCAATTACACTACATTTATATACTAGTATATGTAATACTGAAATACTTTTTGTAATCGTTAGTTTTTTAGTATTGTAACTGGAGTTTTTTTATCGGGGGCGGTAATGTGGCCGCTCCAATTACACTACATTTATTTACTAGAATATGTAATACTGAAATACTTTTTGTAATCGTAAGTTTTTTAGTATTGTAACTGGAGTTTTTTTATCGGGGGCGGTAATGTGGCCGCTCCAATTACACTACATTTATATACTAGTATATGTAATACTGAAATACTTTTTGTAATCGTTAGTTTTTTAGTATTGTAACTGGAGTTTTTTTATCGGGGGCGGTTATGTGGCCGCTCCAATTACACTACATTTATATACTAGTATATGTAATACTGAAATACTTTTTGTAATCGTAAGTTTTTTAGTATTGTAACTGGAGAGTTTTTTTATCGGGGGCGGTAATGTGGCCGCTCCAATTACACTACATTTATATACTAGTATATGTAATACTGAAATACTTTTTGTAATCGTTAGTTTTTTAGTATTGTAACTGGAGTTTTTTTATCGGGGGCGGTAATGTGGCCGCTCCAATTACACTACATTTATATACTAGTATATGTAATACTGAAATACTTTTTGTAATCGTTAGTTTTTTAGTATTGTAACTGGAGTTTTTTTATCGGGGGCGGTTATGTGGCCGCTCCAATTACACTACATTTATTTACTAGTATATGTAATACTGAAATACTTTTTGTAATCGTAAGTTTTTTAGTATTGTAACTGGAGAGTTTTTTTATCGGGGGCGGTAATGTGGCCGCTCCAATTACACTACATTTATATACTAGTATATGTAATACTGAAATACTTTTTGTAATCGTTAGTTTTTTAGTATTGTAACTGGAGTTTTTTTATCGGGGGCGGTAATGTGGCCGCTCCAATTACACTACATTTATATACTAGTATATGTAATACTGAAATACTTTTTGTAATCGTTAGTTTTTTAGCATTGTAACTGGAGAGTATTATTGGAGGTAGTAATGTCACAGCTCCAATTTTATCACAATAAACAATTTGATTCAATAAATTCCTTTATGAACAAACATGATTTTGAAAGTGATGATAATATGACTTGTCCACTTTTTTTGGTCTCTTACTCTGCAAGTAAAAGCTGCTTTGTGGTATTAATTTCTGCATCCAGCATCTTTACCATAACATGGTTGCTCCTCATGGTCAAAAGGACTACAGTAAAACACTGTTACCTTGAACATGCTTACTGGTTCCATGTACAACAAAATCATGTTTACTTCATTTTCAATCTTGTAAGTGAGATGGCATATGGCAAACTATCATTCTATACATGAAAACTGTAAAGAATCCCAAAGAGTAGTTTTTTAAGGAGTTTGAAATATTTGCATCACAATTTTTAATTTACCGAGAGAAAGCGTCTGTTAAATTTTTGGGAGCAGGTCCCATATGTATTTTATTACAGGTCTGAACTTCACCAAACTTGCAAGGATTGTGCATCTGGGTATACTTATGCACTAAATATACTTGGATGCTGAATCTCAGATGCTGGATGAAGTAAACGTTTTTGGAATAGGTTAAATTTCTTGGAGCAGACATCCTGTGATGGCCATATCATAGTTATTAACTTATTACTGATAGAATTTCTGCTAAACTTGGACAGTTGATGTATCTTGTGATACTTAAAGGTGCTTGGACACAGATTTGAAGTTAATATTTTCTCAAATTTTCTGCATAATTTCATGGCTTGTATGTTGCTAGAGCATTTCATACTAAAATATAATAAAAATATTATTTCATCTCGAAGTTATTGAAACTTCAAATTTCTGGACGCGTTTGATTGACACATCCTTGCACTTTCACAAATTTAGTTTTAGTCTTAATACTTAAGAAAAGTGGCAATTTTGTTGTGTATTAATGAAAAATATTAAAACTATAATCCAGAAAAATTCCGAGTAGAAATGTTCGAAAGCAAAACCCACTCACAGTATTGTCAGTCCGTGCTCAGTGGTGTGTGCAGACTTTAACAATTGAACACACCCGGTGAATCGTAAACATTAAGAATAACAGAGCTCGTGCCCTGTTTACAAAAACAGTTTACGTTTCACGGGTGTATTCAATTTGTTAAACTCTGTACACAACACTGAGCACGGGCTGACGATATTAGTGAGGGGGTTTGCTTTCCCATATTTCTACTCTGAATTTTCTGGATTATAGACTGATGTAATGTTTTTCATTAATACACAAAAATAGCTTCTTTTCTTAAATATTAAGGATAAAGATAAGATTTGTGAAAGTGCAATGATGTGTTAATCAAACGCGTCCAGGAATTCATAGTTCCAATAATTTCCAGATAAAAGAAGTTTTTAATTTTCGTGTGAAATGCTATTGCAATATATATGTCGTGATATTATACAGAAAATTTGAGAAAATATTAACTTCTAAGCACCTTTAAGAATTGACATATTTGGATGCTGAATCTAAGCCAAAGGTGTCAGATGTTGGATGAGGTTAAAGTTTTTTGGAGCAGGTATACCTGTGTTTAATGCCAAAAGCTCTGACCCAGGGTCATGAATATCACAATTTTCCTTGATTATCCTAACCATACACTCAGTATGACTGCTAGAAGCCAAATAGCAAAAAAAGATAAGAGTTTCCTATACATTCATTAAAGGCACGCCCTAAAAGCAGAACTCAGGGGCCAAGAATTTCACAATTTTGGTTGAGACATCCCTGTTCACCACAACAATCTGCTTGGTTTGTCTGTTAATTGTCCAGTAGTAGAGAAGAAGCTGGGGCAAGAAATATCACAATTTTAGTAGAGGCACCCCTGCTCATCATAACTATGTGCTTGTTTTGTATGCTGAATGTCCATAAGTAGAGAAGATTTTTGAAACTGCATCAATTTTTACAGGTTTAACTCAAAGTTTCCAATTATATAAATACATTTTTCTCAAAGAAAGTATAACAATCAAGAGGCCCAAGGGCCTTAACGGTCACCCAAGTACAATAATTTAGAGAATCCATAAACTGATAAATGAAGCTTTGTTGCCCCATAGCAAGAAAAATAGTACGACTAAGATCAACAAAATAATTGATCTAGTATCTTTCTATCTGTCCCCCTTTTATCACTATTACCATGAAAATTTTCAAAGAATTCACACATTTTCACTATAAAATCAAATAGAGCCCCCCCCCCCCCCCAAGAAACAACAGAACCCCTGGAACCACAAGTTTTAAAAATTTTGTAAAAGCATCCTTGCTCATCATAACTATACACTTGTTTTTTGCTTTATAGCCAGGAGTCGAAAAAAATATTTTGAAAGAAATTATGAATTTTTACTATATAATCACCAGAACCCCTGGCCCAGGGGCCATGAATTTCATAATTTTGAAAGAGGCAGTTATGCTCATCATAGCTATATACTTAGTTAATTTATTTAATACCCAGGAGCAGAGAAGAAGATTTTCAAAGATTTAATGCATTTTCACTATATAATCAATAGAGCCCCGCCAGAACCCCGGACCCAGGGGCCATGAAATTCACAATTTTAGAAGAGGCAGTCTTTCTAAACATAACTATGTACTTAGTTAGTTTATTTCATACCCAGGAGCAGAGAAGATTTTCAAAGAAATATTGCATTTTCACTATATGATCTATATAGCCCCGCCCTAGCACCAGAACCCCTGACCCTGGGGCTATGAATCTCACAATTTTGATAGAGGGCTCATATCACAATCATGCCAACAGTTTGACTGCTTGATGTCCAGGAGTAAAGAAGGTTTTTAAAGATTGCATCAATTTTGGTGGTTTTAGCCCCACCCCTAAGGCCCCAGGGGGCAGGGACCATGAAATTCACAATTTTTGTCCCCCTTCACCCATATATGCTATATGCCAAAATTGGTTGAGCAGTTTCAGAGAAGAAAATGTTTAAATGTTAACGCACGACGACGGACAAAAACAGATAGCAATAAGTCACCTGAGTGACTCAGGTGACCTAAAAATTAAAGGTTTAATTTATTTGCCTTTCACATGTGAATATTTGTTTTTCATTTTTGATATTGGTCTTCTGAATTCATGACATAAAAGGAGTTGAAATTATCATTTTAAAGTCAGTGCCAAGGTTTCCAAAATGCTAAACCAGTGCTCCAGGAACGAGAACTACAGTGGCCAATGTTTTTCATTCAACATACTTATTCATATCCATTTGCACATTCGTAATAAGAAATTCTAAAGAATAGATAAATGATGACACTACTACATAATACAAGAGGCCCAGGGGCCACATCGCTCACTTGAGCACTCTGGCAAGGAAAAAGCAGAAAATTAATCAGTTCAGTATTAGTAAGTATAAATCTGACCAATCACTTTTATGCTGTTCTCAAGGAGAATTTTTAAAAGATTTTTTCCTATGTATTCCTATGTGGAACTTTAATTCCCCTATTGTGGCCCCACCCTACCCTCGGGGGTCATGATTTGAACAAATTTGAATTTACACTACCTCACACTGATTCCACAAAAGTTTCATATTTGTCAAGCACAGTGGTTCTCGAGGTTTTTAAATGATGCCATTAATTTTTCAAAAATTTTTAATTATCTCCTTTTGGAAGAAGGCAAGGCCCTTTATTTGAACAAACTTGAATTCCCTTTACCCAGGGATACTTTGTGGCAAGTTTGGATGAAATTGGCCCAGTGGTTCTTGAGAAGATGA